GTTTTGAATTGCTTGATCGTGTTATGTTACGCCTAATATTGAGCCACAACCCTGGCACACATTTAAGCAGTGCTTAGTGCCATTTTTGCTATTGCTAAATCTAGCGGCGGCTTTTTGATACTGATCGATGTTTTACTTTAATACACTTAAGACTCCATAGTTGAAAATTGCTCTTTGTAGTATAATAACATATTGACGTAGAAATTACATAATTTAATCGTCACTAGTTTAATCAATGAAGCATATGAACTTTCATAAATAAATTTGTATCTTTAAAAAAATTAATATAAGGCAAATAAAAAACATTATATTTTAACGGGAAAACATATTGCAAAGTACGGTACTGATTAGCTCAAGGTATTGTGTCAAGATAATGATTTTACAAAAAGCATAAAATAAATTTCAAAACAAAAAGACAAATGAAAACGAAAATTCTATTATCTAAAAAAATAAAAAAATCAATATTTTTAACAAACATCTAAATAACCCCAGTTTCTTTTAAAAGATCTATTTTCTCATTAGTATAATGTAATAAATCAGTTAAAATTTCACGTGTATGTTGTCCAAGTGTTGGAGGTGGTGGTCTTATTTTCAATACTTCTCTACTATATTTAACAGGAATACCTAAAAATCATAACGAAAAATGAATATTACAAATAAAATAACAATTTATTTCAAGTATCTTAATATGAAGTATTTGACCTGTTAGTTTAATTTTGCCAGCTTTAGGATGATCAACTTCTTGTATCATTTCAAGAGCAAGAATTTGAGGATGTTCAAAAATTTGCTGAATATTATTAATTGATTCCTTATCAGATAATAAAGATAGCCAATGATCAGTAGTTTCATTCATGAATCTTTCCTCTAAAAGTGAAATTTATTCTTTACGATGAAATAAACGATCCGAATTTGTAGTAAATTTTGAATCAATTATTAATTCATCTTTGTAATTAATTGTATTGCATAAAATTTTAAATTGTTTATCATTTCCAGCACCAATCATAATAAAACCATCTTTCGTTGGAAATACTTGATATGGAACAATAGAGGGATGAGATGTACCCATTTGTTTAGCTTCTTGATTTGAAATGAGATAATTGCTAGCAATGTTTGCTAATGAAGCAACTTGACATTCAATAAGTGAGCAATCTATCCTTTGACCAAGATTTGTTTTGCTTCTTGATATCAGTGCGGCCATAATCGCTCCATGTGTGTAAAGTCCTTTATCATTATAATGAAAGTTAAGAACCGATTTAATTCAAATTAATCTATTTAATGTTAAAAGATATTAGCATAATATACCTGTTGTTAAACTTTGTCAATTAAAAAATTTAGATAATTAGTAATAATCTTAATAATCTCGTAATCTTAACATTCAAAGGATTATATTATTGTATCAAAAAAAAATTATACCTGTTATAGCTACATCAACCTTTACGGGTGAACCGTCCTCTTCACCTGTA